TGGGTGGGGGCAGTACCCAATATTAATTATCCAACTGTTACTGAAAGGGGGCAGTACCCAACGTGTGAGGTTTGCTTTGCGTGGCGTTTGGCCCCCTCTGCGGCACGTTTGCATGGCGTGATTTCGAAAGATCCCAAACCTGGACTTGAGGGGGAGAAGGGCGTAGGGTTTAGGGTGTGTAGGGTTTGGGGCCTAGGATTATAGGGGTCATATAGGGTTTATATAGGGTATTGTATCTGAAAATATTGCAAAAGGCCGCCAAGAGAGATATACGCCCTTCCAAAGAATCCAAGCTGGTATGGTCCCCGTTTCAGAGGACAGCAGTCTTTGTAGGGTCCCGTTTAGGCTTCAGGGGAGGGTGGAGAGCACAGCTTCAGTGCTTGGAGTATGTTTATGGCTTGAATACTGCCACCACGCTGTCGCAGGCCCCCCCCAAAAATAAATACTCCACCGGAACAGGGGCCCTACATGACTGTTACAGGTGAAGGCAGTATCCAAATTGTAGGGCTTGTTCTGCGAGATTATGTACAAAGTATCCGGAGAAATTCTCACAGGTTTGGCAGCTGACCAGTCAAGAGGTGATGCGAAGAAAGGTTGGGGTTGTACCGTAGTTCAGCTGGGGTCTTGGATAATCTTGTATAGTTGGGACATTCTCCCAACAAGAAAAGGCCAAAGTTACCACAAGGACTGTCGTTCTTTGCAACATACAGTACCCTCCTCAAAATAAGCATGGAACCTCACGCAGACCCCTGGGACTCTGGTCTTTGTGGGGTCATTTTTGGGTGCCATGCTACCCTGGGTGGTGTACGGTGTAACTGAAAGAAGATGCTCTCAACAAGAAACTGAACCCTTAACCTCATGGAGCCCTACCCTCTCCCTTACTACCCCTAAACCCCCTCAACAAGTGCCTCACGAGGATGAAAGTCCTTGCAATTTGAGCTATACAAGCCTCATACATGGTTCGTGTGGAGGACCGTAAGTTCCAAACCCTCTCCGTCCCTGCACATCCTTTTGATCATGGCCCCTGTATTTTCCACCTAGCCTGTAAAAGGGTGCGCCAACGCTTAACCCCATTTCATCAGCTCAAAAACCGAGCCAGCGTGGTTTGGGGATCTTTGGGTTGCTGCTCGTGTCAAGCAAAGGCCTGGATCCGAGAATAGAGAAAAGCTGCGTGTGCTCAGCCGGTTGCATTCGTTGCTGTTGGTCATAGTATGGTGGTCTAGGGTTGCTGTCAATGAACTTAAGTTATGTTACCATATTATGGGTATATACGTAAATAACTCCCTAACAGCAACCCAAATAAAGTCCGCCTCCTCCCTGATGCTACAGAATCTGGTTTGAAGGCATGCCGACTTAATCATGGCGTCCTAATATGAAATAACACCGCCTACCCCCCGAACATCTAATATGGTCCCAGGCATACAAGGTCTGCTACAGGGAATATTTAAGATTCAAAGTTAGGGGGGGTGTCTCCTACTGCAGGGAGGCCATTAGTAGGACTAGATAGAGGAGAACGGGATCCCCTCGCAAGGGCTCGTGGAGTATCCGCTTTCAAGGGTACAATGGGATAAAAATACACAGTCGTCAACCATTATGCGCGCCATCTGCTGCTCCTTGGGACGTGGCCGGGACCTTGGACCCTTAACCCTTTCGGATTCCACTAGTGAGAATCCCATTATAGGTACCTAAGGGTTAACCCTTTGTACGGGTCCTACGTGCCATGTAGGCTAGCAGTGAGATTTGCATGCTTGTGAGGTAGAAGGAGTAAAGCACGAGCGCTGTACTGCGCCAAGAGAGCAATCTGCGCATTTCCCAGAATAGGGTTCCCTCTTATCACCTGCAGAAACATAATCCGTGTAACCTGTGATGTGTCACTTTTCTGTCCTTTCCAGCGACAAATATCGTTGAAAGATTGATACGATAGAAGGCACAAATATCCAGAGGATCAGCCTGGGAGAAGCTTGGGGCGTGCCCTTCAGGGCTCTCAATATACTAGACACGCACACACACACACAGACACAACTACAAGAGAATTGCGAAGGCGATTCCCCGAAACACTCGCGGAACTGATGAAGGCCACGCGTAAGGCCTGCAAGGGCCGGGGGTAAAGGGACTCAGGGCGTTTAAGTTGACAGTATAGGGCGTTGGGTGCACGTGTGGTATTAAGCTGTTTAGTGGTGTCGGCTTAGAGTTTACAGATGTTCTAGACTAGATACAGGAAACAGGAGAGCATTCAAGAGCATCTAAATGCTAAAGCTGAAAACTGTCCGTTCGCTCGTCAGCTACTGCATTAGATTTGGGGATCAAGGTATGCCATGCAAGGGAGACTTGTTTGTCCTACAATTGTTTCAGATCCAGACTAGCTTTGGACTTCCATGACACACGGGTATCTTCTGAGTGGTCCTTGACAAACTTGCCTGAACCCTAAACCCTTAACCCCAACACTTTGCAAAGCAGCGCAAGAATTTGGAATCTGCACTTCGAGGACTAGCCATCCATTCAGGAAGGGTTATGTAAAGGATTGTCCTTCAGCCCTAAACCCTATACACGATTTGTTGTAGGTACCCAGCCCTGAGCCCTAAAACCTTGCATTCTTGATTGACCATATGATGTAGTGAACACCCAAAAAGGGTCATAGTTTTGAATTGTTTCCATGTGTTTGGATCCCACACCAGCAACCCAAAGCTCGCAACTATATGAAAAGCAACAGTAACCGTGCCAGTAGTAACCCTAAAGCCCGAAACGAGCCAGGATTGAACAGTCGGATAGCGGTTTAAGGCTCATTGAGGCGTAGACTTTGGTGCTTTGCCTTGCGGATGCTTGGTCCTTATTAAAGTCCTGTCTGCAGAGGGGATGTGTTCATTGGAATCTACACTATGCTTCGATATGTGCAATGAGGATTTGGTTGTCGTTTCAAGTTTCAAGGTGCTAGTCGCACCATGACTGCACAGTGTTTAGTTTAATGTGCACTTTGAGATCCAATCCACTCATGTACCAGGTTGTCCTTTGACATGCAATCCACTATAAACACCACTAAAGAATAATATTCGCCCCATTTTTAGAGAAAATTGTATTGCAACTAGTTACTGTAGAGGGACTCTGAGAGCTCGTAATTTGGGAGAGGTGGCTACTCGCTTATGTGGCTTAGACTTCGTCAGGCTACCGTCCGGCAGCTGATCCAAGCTGAGAGCTGAATATAGGGGGGCAGGATTTCAGCAGGTTTCTTGTTAGAGCAATGCAGGTACTATGATGGGGAGTGTATACAGATAATTACAAGGATCAACTTCCCCACTCCCTTCACCACCAGTCAGATGAGGCCGTACACACTGAGCGGCGTTCCCAAAACGATATTCTTCGTCCCATTCCCGCCAAGCGGAACACCCGCTCCCCGCACGTGACGAACCGAAGCCCTGAACATTACTTTTATTCGTATGATTCTTTTTTTTTCGTAGGTGCCCTGCACTCAGAACCTCACTCATATCATGCCGTATACCTAGCACCTCCAAGCAACCCCTTCAGTGCCCTGATCGAAGCTTCTTTTGGATTGTTTCTGTGGACAGGAATGGCGATTTGTCATCCGGAGGCTCATTTTGATGGCCTTCTTCTTTGTATGGCCACCTGACAGCATGCCAGTGCAGCCGTCTTCCGATTCCACGCTCAATATAGAGGGATCAACAGAGTTTTCCAGCTGTGGGTGTCTAATTACCGCAAATGCCGTCCAAGAGACGATGGGCCCAAAGTAGCGGTGTTTCAGACTTTGACTCATTGACATTATAGACGTAGAGCTTCTCAAAACCCATATGTACCTTCCGGCCTTTCGGAAAACAGGGGCCCCAACCATCAACTGTGTGTAGTCTCCCGGAATGCAGAAAGGCTTCCAGCTGCGTAGTCGGGAATGGTGGAGTGGGCTATAAATAAATTGTGCATGGACTGCCGCATGGATCTCTTCTCATTCCGTATGGAAAACGCTGGGTAGAAGAAGGGTTTGCCTCTTGTCCAGAGGAGCTGGCACAAAGAGGGGTTTCTCAAGAAGGGGTGCCCAGTATATGTAGGACCACGAAGGGGCCGATTAGTGATTTAAAGCGACAGCTTTAAGAAGAAATACACAGAACATGGCAGTTCCATGGATTTTAGGAATCCTCCCAGAATGCGGGTTTCTCAAAGTACGGGTGCCAGAGGGACCTCCCATCCATGAGGGTTGTACCCGTCCCCGCTGATGATCATACGACTACGCAGGCAAGATTCTTAAACATGATAACCTGAATCTGAATCTCTGGACATGCCAATGTGCCTCCAAAAAGCCCCCAGAGAATTTCCCCGGAAAAGTAGGTATCACTTTGATACACCGAGGATGTACACCCTTGCAGAGCACTACTGCGTGCAAGACGGGACAGTCAACAAGGTGACTTTCCCGCTGCATCTCGCTCAATCCCTGAACCCTAACCCCTAATTCAACCCCTGAACCCTAAAACCCTGAAACAAATAACCCAAACCCCTTGTCTTTGTCCCTTACAGGGCTGGATGGCCAGGGATGGCATTTCACGTGCATCTAATCATCATCATCATCCAGCATGCCCAAGAAAGCCAGGAATCAGCTCAAGTAGTGGGAAGCCTGACGTAGACAACATTTAGGACCAAGGGTTTTGGGTTGAGGGTTTAGGGAAGCTTTAAACTAAACTTGAAACTGGGCGACATAGGAGCTCTAGGGGTTATCGGAGTAGACATTAAGGGGGATACTAGGAGTTTAGACTATTGCTCAGCTACAATCAGTACTAGGGTTGCCAAGGGACCACTAAGGGTGCACATAGGTCTCCTTCTTATAGTTTAGCAACGTCAGTATAGCCCGTCACATATTCCCTAATAAGGAGCCAATGTCCGTTAGTCATCTGGGTAACATTGACTGTGGCCCATAAAAGGACCTCACATTCTGGGGGTTGGGGTCTATATTCGGTCCCCTTATTTTGGGGAAGATTCCCTAAACCCTAAACCTTGAACTGGACAATTCAGGCTTCGTCGTTGCTGAACCTTTAGAGGTTGCTGGAAAAGCTGCCGCCATGGGTTGAATTGGGGTTTAGGATTTCAATGGATATCCATTCTAGGCCACAAGAGCCTGAATAGGTTGGGTTGCTGACGAGCTTGAGGGCCTTGTCGGCTTAAACTTTCAGGGTTGGTGAGTGCAGCAGCTGTGTTGTATTGCATTCACCAACCCTTTTCTAAGCCAAGAAGGCATACTTATCATCCGCCTGCCTTCCTGTTTGGTTTCGATTCAGAAGCATTCGCCATTCAGATTCGCACCGCTCAAAACTCAAAACTGCACAGTTGACCCAGTGCAAGGTGTATGGTTTACGTAGTGTGTAGCGTACAGGAAGACCGGACTCCCAAAAACCCTAAACCCTAAAGGGCCTTTATTCAGGTTAGTGCTTCTTCTGAGGTCGACGGCTCAGGCACAGCCCTACTGAGGCGTACAGGCACCCTAAACCCTAAATCCTACGTGGAGGCCCAGGAGGACTTAGTAAGTAGCTTAACAATTCCTGCCTACGAACCACATAGTAACCCGTTACTAAGGCCACTGACCCTCAAAGTAATAGAAGGGACTGGAGAGAACCCTAAACCCGAGTGTGGGCAGGGCGTCAACTGAACGCCCAACCCTACACCTTGAGCCATAAACATACAACCCTAAACTTCAAAGCCTGAACCCGAAGCCGTAAAGCTTCGAATACCAAGCCTTAAACCTTCAACCCTAGACCTGAACATCTCACCTGCTCCATACACCTAAAACCCTAAACCTGATTGCCTACTCCCTGGTTTGGAGCCTTCAACCCAAGACCTTAAAACCCTAATGTAGGGTTTTGGGTCTAATGAAACCCTGTACCTTGCATCCTAGACTTTAAGCCCTCAACCCCAAACCTGCAGAACCCTACCAGGAGGTTTGTGTCCTCCTGGCCTTCACGGCACCCTTAATGAGTATTTCTGTGAGCCAAAGGCAGGGCTCCGGGACATATCGGGCTTGGGGTTTAGAACGGAAGGGACTGGAAAAGCACTTCGGAGATGAAAACTGGAACTCTATGGCTTTCGTTGAGGGATTTGGGGTTTACTTGCTGGATGCTGCTAGGGATATGAAGGAATGAGCCAAAAAAAGGCACGCTAGCATTTAGGTTTAGGGTTTTAGGTTTAGTTTATGGACAAGAATATGGAAACCCTACACCCTAAACCCTACACTACCAAATGTTTAGACATTTCATCTCGGTCACTCGAACAATCCATTCTCCATTCCTTACTAACACCCCATGGCCCATAAGCTTAAGGGTGGAGGGTTTCAGGGGTTGAGGAGTTTGGAGTTTAGGATTTGGGGTTAACCAGAGGTTTGGAATTAGGGTTCAGGGTCTATGCTGAAAAACATGCTGTCCAGGATTTTGCGGCTATTGACTTAGGGTTTTGGCTTGGGGAATGCTGGCTAAGGCTTGAGAGCAAAAGGTTTCAGAACCTGGGGTTGAGCCCAAAACTAGCTTCCCTCAGGTCAAACGGCATTGGAATTTTCTAGGGTGGTTTCTAAAGCTTTAAGTGTCAGGACAGCTCCGGCCTAATTGAAAAGTAACATAGAAAGCCGTAGAGCCCCCCTTTTTTGAGGAAGGTGGGTTTCGTGAGGCATGTTTTCGTCTTCCACGGCATGTATAACGACCTTAACCAACTAATTGAGGTTGTAACAATATACGGAGTTCCCGCTTTAAATTCCCCCGCATATAGCTACCATCATTAGAAGGGCCCCTTATTTTCGGAAACCCCCGTTTGCAGAGAGAAGTTAGGCTGTTGAGAGATGCTTGGTGGGATGTCTCAGGGTAAAGAGATCTGTGGCCCATCTTAGACAGAAACTTGTCCGTGTTCAAAGCAGGCAGGTCGACGAGCGAAATTGCCACTGCATCAAGGGATCCTCTAACTAGGTAGGAAAACACTCATGATTGTAACATGTTGTAACAACCAGGTGACATCTTATACTCCCTATACTCACCATGTCGTAACCAGGTTATATAGTATATATTTGCTGTATTTATCAGTTCAGATAGTACGAGTGTTTCGTGATGCACCTACCTAGTCCTCTAGCCTTATCTTTGTTTGGTTGGCTAGGCATGAAGGAATGGGTCCTTATAGTAGTCCCTGTATAACCCATTATAGTAGTTTCTGTTTTCTTTTGCATTTCTAAACCCTAAGCCTAAACCCTAAACTTTCGGCCTAAACCCCATGTAACCCAATATGGTAGTTTCCATTGTCTTTTTGATTCCTTCCTTGTCAGCTAACGAAAGGTAAGAAGCAGGGTCCAGGCTCTTGCAACGGCAGCCAAGCTGCGGTTGGGGGGACACAGGGCAGATAGCTTACCTCTGGTCAGCAGGGAACTAAGGAATGGAAAAAAAACATGGAAACTACTACAACGGGTTATAGGGTTTAGGGCCTAAAAGGGTTTAGGGCTTAGGGCTTAGGAATGGAAAAGAAAATGGAAACTGCCACATTTTTGGAAGTTATATAGGGACTACTTTGAGGATCCATTCCTTCATTTCTTTCTAACCAGAGGTATGATAGCGGCTTCTGCGGACAAAGCTTTCGGAGGTACAAGCGTGAGGTCACGACCTTGGAGTCCAGTGTAGGGCCCATTGTACAAAACTTTCCGTTTTGTGTGAAACAGGATGCCCCAGCAAGACTTGGCCCACACTGGTCCGGGCTAAGGGCAGTTTCCAAGAGTGGGCTCCTTTTTTTGGAGACACTGATGCAGGGAATTGAACCCATCCAGACCTCCTTTGGAAGGACTGCAATTGCTTTCTAAGCGGCCCTGTCAAAACATCCCTCTATCGCTACACACCTCCATGATAATCCCCGCAAAGCGCTTTTGGGGATCCCATGTTAGGGTAAGTTTTGGGACCGTAGCTCGAGCATGGTATTGGTTCTTGGCGGGCAGGTTCCATCGCGGAATCCAAATGATTTGGCACACCCCGCACAGGCGCTGGGTTAAACGGGTCTAGGGTGTTGGGGTCTTGAGAGATTATATATATATATATACACAAGTTCAGAGTTCAGAAGCCTGGGTCTATGGGGGTTGGGGTCTTGAGGGATAATGGCCGTCTGGAGGTCTGAGGGGTTGAGGGGTCGGAGGGAGGTGGCGCGGTGCGGAGACAGGGGCAGCGTGGGAGGAAAGGGAGGACAGGGGGAGGTTGAAGGGAAGGAGGGTAGGTGAGCAAGAGATTCTGCACAAAAAACCTCGTATCCCTCTTGGTGCAAGCTAGCCCTTAGAGTTTGATTTCCGAATTTTGTATAGAAGCCTACAGCAGACTCAACATTCAAATCTTTCATATTCCATGAACACACAGGAGCAACCAACTTAAAAGCCAGCACTCCCAACTTGAGAAGGCATAAACGGGCTTTGCACCAAAGGTTTACATAGCTCAAACTTCAGAACGGCTTCAGAAAAGCCCGTCTATGATGGTAATTACTCGAGTTATTTCTGTTTGGAACGAGGAGGGAAACCAGTTTCAAGGCAGGTTTCTTTGTTGAGGGTGCTGAGCAAACCTTTAAACAACAAGAGATTGGATGAAGTATGACGGCGAGCCCTTTACCACATATATCATACATCCCTATAACCCAGTATCCTATGTAATCCTCTTAGATGTTCCTATGTAAGACTATATACTCCCTACATACTCCTAGATAGCCTTGAAAGATTCTGTCCGGTGACTGCCACGGCGATTTGCACAGGGACGATGCTGGGATCGGTCTAGGGTTGAGGGCTGAGGGTTTAGGGTTTAGGGCCCGCACTTCAACACAACCACAAACACGCAGTGTGGGGTTTAGGGTGAGCGGTTTAGTGTCTTGGGTTTTGGGAAGAAAGAAATACCCAAAGCCATATTCGATCTATTTAAGGGGGACTATAAATGAAATGTGGTTGTATAGATGTTGTATGGAGCCGACTTTTTTTTTGGAGGTTCTAGGGCTCAGGCTAATGGACCCGTGGAGGTTACGGGTTTTGGGGTCTACTTTCCAGTTGTTATTAAGGAATGAGGGAAAGAGGCTATTGTTTCAGATACAGGGTTGTGGATCGCATCAGAAAATGGAAATCACCTTTTGGTAGGCTAAGACCCTGAACCCTAAACCATAAACCCTAAATGCTTCAGGGATTCATTTTTTATTTTTCATTCCCCCATCCCTCGCTTGAAACAACAAGTAAGACCAGGCATGATATGATCACCTTCCTCTCCCCTTCGGGACAGAAAGCAGTCAGCTTCTGCGCGTTGCATCATGTACATTGATACATGGCTTCGTGTAGAAGCCTGAAGAATACCGAATGGTGATGGTCCCTCGAAATGTGTTGATTATTGCTCAATTCCCAATGTAATGGTCCCTCCAAAGTATTTCTTGGGCCCCTGCATAATTGACAATTCCACTTGTACTGGTAAAAAATGCTTACGCCCCGAAGCTTGCACCTGCGACAATTCCGGTCCGAAGAAGTCAAATTTTCGGCCCAGAACCTGAAGCACCAGCCATACGGTAGATTCCTGAATAATTACCAAAGTCATGGTCCCTGATCTCTTGTGTAATTATGGTAGAGGGTACCTCAAACAGACTCCACAATCATATGTTTAGCTATGCAGCTTCTGTCTACACTGCCCTAAACACACCCTGAACCCCTAGCTCCAGGTGGTACCCAATTTAGACCCCAATATACTACAGTCCTTATTCTGGGAACAGCCAAAGAGGCACCCCTAACTTTACCCCCCCCCCCTATTTGCCCGCAGCATCTTCATGCTACGTGCGCGTCCACGGTCATAGCATC